AATAAGTTCTATAATTCTAATTCGATCTTTGGGCTTTCGCTACAGGTGTAGCTTAGGGCTCTGTTGTGATTATTGCCCCATGCTGTGATATAACAGCCGCAGTTTGCATCAAAAAGCTATGAAATTATTACCATGATCCTTAAAGATCCATTTTAGGTTTCGGCTACCGGCTTTTTTTCTGACTAACTATATTAAGCTGTTTAATATTCATAATTTGATTYGTAAAACACATATAAGCATGCATACGTAGAAAATGAAATCAAAAATGGAATTGACGAATTTGTTTAGAGAGGGTGACACGTGACAGTTTAACTGATAAACTTGTGGCCCTCTTATGTTTAACGTCTCTGAATGAGACGGGACCGCCATTTTTATCCGATCCACGGCAAAGGTTTAATCATTTGCAAATATTTTTAGTGCTAACGGGCAGCACCTTATTGAGCTTCTACTCAAATATTTTAAGACCCTGAGCGTTGGTCTCGTATAGTACAACAAACTAACTGAGCTAACTCAGTCATAATTATTACTAAAAATGGAAGCTGCCATTCTTAATATATCCTCTCGGACTATTTTAGTGCAGCCTTCCTGTGTATATAAAATCTAAAAATTAAACCATATCTAAAAATATTATCTTTACAAAGCTTTTAAGTGACGGTCAATCACGTATGGAAAAAGACTTCCGTGTCCAAATAGAAGTAGAAAGATTTTAACGAAAGATAAACATTACCAAGAGAAATGAACTAAGAGAAGGAAACTCTGTTATTCATGATTGTCACCAACATTGGCACCGTTTGATGCTATCTTTTTTTTCTGCACGCGCATACTGAGCGCGCTCTATTCTGTTTTTTTTTGTTTTTGTTTTTTTTGTTTTTTTCGAAAAGCACAAGAAAACATGAGAAAACACCATAGAGCGCAAGCAGYACGGGTTCGCAGAAAAGCGAATAATGAATGATTCTAAAAATAACAGAAATAATCCTAAAATAGCATCAAAGAGTGCTGATGATGGGGAGCTGGGATTCCTTCTTTCAGTTCATTTTCTCTTTACGTTACTCAGAAGAGGATCCAGGGTTATCCCATCATGCATTGCGAGCGAGATATTACTTTTTTCCATTTCAACAGCTAAAATTTATATTTTCGAAATTTTAAATAGAGTGCATTTTATACTTTTTAGCGTTATTTATTTTCTAAATTCTTCAAGACATTTAGAGAGATACTTGTTAAAATACTGGAGTACTCATTTTAGAGTATTTCAGGTTCAGCATAGATCCTACAACTGACTACTCGTCAGATTTTTAAAGGCTCTTGGGATAGCCCTGGATGCTCCTATTAATAGTTACACGCGAAGGCACCGTCCGCGGTGCTATTGTCAAGCGCAAGGTCTAATGGCAAACAAAAATGACAAAAGTTGTATCTATTAATTATTTTAAAGTGCATGATTCAACAATTGTAATGATTGAATTTAAAAT